AGATCTACTAGACAAGAATGGTCGTCGCATGATTGCTTACCCGTGTAAAACGTAAGCACATCTCCCTTCATTGATTGGTCAGTGTCCAGCCAAATCAACCTGATTTCTTGCTTTTTTTTTCAGCTGTGGCACCAAAATACACCGACCAGTCCACGACACTTCCCCAACAAATTTATGTAAGCATGTGGCAAGTTGTATGAAGAGACAAAAGGAGGCTAGTGAGAATCAGAAGCTGTCAGCGTTTGGGATCTCCGGGACCAGCAATATTGATCCACGAGAGGTGAGTGCATTTACTTTTCCCCACCCAGCTGAAATTCTGAATCTTTGATCTCACCAGGACAGATTGAATGAAATTTTTGACTGAAAATGACTTGATCATTTGATTAAATCATTTTATTGCAGGTACCCCAGCTATGTGCCATCTGGTGTGCTCAATCAGCCCGCCCTTTCTCAGCTCTTGGTGAACAGGCGCATCGAGGCATCTTACACCCGGTTGTCGTCAAGAACCTACCGGGTCGAAGGTCAGTATCGGATGACATAGGTCACTTGTACACAGCTGTGCAGGAGAGTATAATAGAATCGCTTAAGGTTAGTTGTACATCTTCTATCTTGAATCCAAACACATACCTCTTCCGTCTGACATCTGAGGGGTTCAATACTAATCATGATTTCTAATTTAAATTTATTGTCTCAGGATCATAAGGGTGCAATGTACTTGGGATTAGATGTCTGGCAGTCCCCAAATGGGTTTGATGTATTAGGGTTGGTGATATACCGTCTGGTCGAAGAAGGGGCTGATTTCCGCTTGGAGTCAATGCCTCTTGACTTTGTCAAGCTGCAACAAAGCCACACTGGTGTGTATTTGGCAGTAACTGTTGATCTGATTGTTGAGAAGTTTGGAGTGAAGGATAAGGTACTCTATCAATTCCAAATTTCCACTCTTGCTTTTTTTTATTTCCATTCAACAATTTCTGGTTTTTTAATTGGCTTATTATTCCTTTGTAGATATGTGGTATTGTGACAGACAATGCCAGTAACAACAAGACAATGATTGAAGATTTGAGATCATACAAATGGCCGCGGTTGAAAGTTGAAGGCCAATGGATTCGCTGTTTTGCTCACATTCTCAACCTCATAGCTCAGGCCATCTTGAGACCCTTTGGAAGCAACAAGCGCAAGAATACTGCTGGCACCTCGCCCCATGAGTACTTAGACTCCGACAATGACGATACAGATGTCGAGCCAGATGATCCAGATGAGCAAATTAAATTGTAAGGTTTCATGAGATTATGAGCCTTATCTAGATTTTTGTAACTGATTTTTCTGTGGGTAGGTTTAACGAAGGCATTTCAGGAGACAACGACAATGAAGATGACGATGAAGAAACTGATGACGATGCTCCCCTAGCTTCTAATCTAATTGGTGATGACGAGGTTGAACTGGAGGATGACGATTTGAATGACTTGAGTGATGAGGGGGAAGAGGACCAATATACTACCCAATCATGCAAGGAGTCATTATCCAAAGTAAGCAAACATCTCCATCTGATGAATAATTTGATTGCCTACTGACTTTAATGATCATCAAACTTTCAAAATCAGTTCCGAGCAATTTCCAGGAAATTAAACAAGTCTCCTAATTCCAAGGCTCTTTTCAAAGAGATCTGTGGTGATCTTGAGTGTTCAACGCCACACAATATCACTCGTGACGTTCGCACACGGTGGAATTCAACTTTCGAACAATTGTCAGGTATCCTGCGATGCTCAGCAGCAATGTGAGTTTTTTGTTTCCTACTCAACTCCTCACCGATCAGATGATCAGTGCTGATAAGATATGTTAATTGTAATTTTAAGCCTTGAGTGGCAGAAGGATAAACGTCACGGTCCTGCTCGATCTCATCACATCAACCAAAACGATCTTGACTTAGCGCGTGACCTGGTCGAGCTTCTTCAACCCTTCTACGAAATCACCCTCCAGGTCTCCACTGCCGGTGCAGCTCGAATTGCCGACATTGTTGTCTTCATTGACCAGATCACTAGCCATCTTTCTTCTGCCATCTCCGATAAACGGGACGATTACCCCCCTGCCATTAGAAATGCTTGTCGTGCTGGACTTCATATCACTAATAAGTACTATACTCTGACAGACTGCTCACCGTTATACCGGGTCGCTATGGGTAAGTTTTTCTGTTTCATCATTACTGCTGACATCACAGTAAACTAATGGTTACTCTACAGTCCTCCATCCTTCTTTCAAAGACGAATACTTCAAACTTGCTCAATGGGAACCAGAATGGATCGAAGAATCAATCAGACTAACCCGTGAGATGTGGGAAAATCACTACAAACCTCCACCAGCACCTCAGGCAACCATGTCACAACGATCAAACACCTGTCCAAAGGTGATTAAATGGGACATGCACTGCTTATCATTTTCCTACTCTGTCAAAAATTGTAGCTAATACTTTGTTTCAAAATGGAATACAGCCTCAGAAAGGAGTTCTTGCGGGTTTGGTTGGTGCAAAAGTAGCTCGTGGAGGGACAAACCCGATGGATCCAATTCTCTTGTGGCTTGCTGAAGGTTTGACCTTAACCGAAGACGGACGGCCGGTGGATCCCCTCAAATGGTGGATGCAACAACGGCATGTTGGGAATACTCACAGGGGTCTGCTACAGATGGCCCTTGATGTGTTAAGCTGTCCGGGTGAGTTTTTCTTCTATCATATCTTTGTATTGTATTTCTGTACCAATTCCCTTAAATCTACCACAGCAACAACGGTGGATGTTGAGCGATCTTTCAGCTTTGGAAGGGAATATGTTTCCCTCAGGAGGCACCGACTCAGCCACTCATCAGTCACTAGAGGTATGGCTGTTTCATTTTACTCCAAGAATGGGAAAATAAAACCTGGGGTATTGCATCAATGGAAATTGAAGAAGGCAAATGAAGCCAAGCAAAAGGGTAAAGCTAAAGATAGATCAGAGAGAAGATAATTTGTTTTTCTTTATTTCTTTATTTTTCTTTTATTCTTACTCATATATCTAGTGGATATCAATTATTATATTTACCAAGTCATGCAGAAATTCAAGGGTGAGACTTCTGGGCATATTTGCCTGCAAAAATGTGCCAGGTACCCGCAGGTACCCGGTGCAGGTACCCGGGTACCCGCCCTGGCGGCCCTAGCAGGTGCGGGTGCGGGTGCGGGTGCCAAAAATATTGGATTTTTGGGGCAGGTACCCGCACCCGCTACAGGTACCCGGGTATCGAGCGCCATCTCTAATTGCTAGTAGTGGGATCTGGATCAGCAGAGTTCAAATTTGACCCTTTCTAATCCTTGGTTTAAGTGCACATGTTGCCAAGCTCACTAATCCTACCAAATCTTCTCAACCAATGTGGATGCTCTAACACCATCACATGTTTTGCCCACTTATTTAGAAATTGGTTAAAAATCAATTTTGAACACCTTTTTATTACAGTCACACTACATTTAAATACGGCATTCCGCTGCACACATTTGCCTGCAAACAATGATTGCCTCACTCAGGGGAAAACTGTGCTTGGTGGGGGGGGGGGGGGGCAAGCATTGCAAAGACCACATTTTTGGAATCTACAGACCTCTTAAAGTGACAAGCTGTTTGCCCAGCCAATTTTTATTTTTTTCCATTTTGCAGGTGGGGCATTCGGACCTGTCACCTAAACCATACATCAACATGAGGTAGGATGAGACCTCTGACCCAAAAGTATGGCATACAATCCCATACACATGGGGTTACACCATCAAAATGCACACTTGGGGGTCCAATCCAATGTATAATCCCCCCAAACAAACCCAAAAACTTAAAAAAAGTCTACTTTTTTGGCCTTGACCATTTGGACCCGTCCAAAATTGTGTACAGCGGTGTGGTGGTGAGAGTGCGCGCGGGGCCAAAGCTTTGGCTGAATTGTTTGGGCGGGTGCAGAATGCACACGGCTGACAAGGAAAGCATGCGGAAGGCTGAGGAAAGTGGTGGGGCGCAAGTAGAAAGTCAAACTTTCTGAGGCGCGGGAAAGTGTGGGCTGAGCGGGGTGGAATGCAAAAGTTTCCAAAAGCTTAATGCGGGAATCCAGGCACTGATGGGCTTTGGGGCTCATGGCCAACTGTGGACCGGGGTTAGTGTATACTGCGGAGGGGCTAAGATGGAGCGGGGCACCGAGAGGCGGAAGCGGGGTTTGGCGTGGCTGGACCAGAGGCGGAATTGGTGGTGGGAGACCTGGATGAATAGCAACCAGAGGAGTACATGGATTGGCAGTTGTCAGAGGGGTGACGAGTGGGGTGTGAGGGAGTGACAGCGGAGGACATTGTGAGAAGCAGGAGGAAGGCTTGTGTGTTAGGAGTTTTGAGTGGAAGGGAGAGAGAGAGGGGGGGCTCATGACTCAGAACATATCAGAAAAAACAGAGTGACTTAGGCGTGAATCGTCTATTAGCCTAAAGGATTTTTGGAGATAGAAAAGAGTTAGAGTTTTACAAACCAAACAATAGAAAAGAATAGTTATTTACCTACCTACAAGACCATCAAGCAAGTTAACCCAGACAACAAACCGGAGCAAGGACGTGTTACGGAGAGGAGAAGTTCAAGAAATCTCATAGGATGTGCCTTACTTTCCACAGGAGAGTGCCGTGCACAACTGTAGCAGAGTTCATGATTGAGATTTATCAAATTTTAGAGCCCACTTGAAGTTGTTTATCAACACTTCTTTCAAGAATTAGAAATTTGTGTGTATTGTTCAGGAACCCCCCAAAACCGCTCACCTTGTAAATATTTTAAAACGTTGTTGATAAAGGCCTTGAAACGGGCTCCAAAAATTGTTAAATGAAAATCATGAACCCGGCTATTACATAGTATTCAAGTAAATATATGATGTTTGATTAGCTAAGTAATTTAGATTTAAGATTGAGACATTGTGTAAATTGAATAAAAAGTGAGGCCTGGATGAGCTTCAATGACATGAGCATTTCCTGGTCTTGTTGATCATTGATCACATGATCAATATTCTACAGATGGTTTTGTGAAAAATTGGCCACACAAATATAATTATGATCTTCAAATTTAAATATGCAAATCATTATGCATGCATATTTCATGAATAATCAACTCTTGTTTGGTGGGAAATCTCCAGATGACATAATCAGATTGTCAAGATTCCCTGCACATTAGATTTAATCATCTAATATGAAATATTCATGCATATATCTCTGTATATTTAACTTTGGACACCATAATTCATTATCCTTGAATATAAAGATGGATGTTAAACATTTCTACTATCAACCATGTAGTAAAATATCCAGTGAATCTTTATTTGATTTTACAATGAATATTCCTTTTCATTTAGTGTATTCAACATTCAGGAGTGTATGCCATATGGTACAGTGTAATTCAATTTATCTGATTTTACCACAGAGGCTTCTTCTAGGCACTGCATATTAAAGATTCTTATTCTACCCTTCTCATGGATATAATTTCAACCACTTTGGAAATTTTAGTATCTGATCAAAATACCTTTTGTTTTTGACAACTTTTCCCGTTTCTTTTTGGGCCTTGGAAAAACGACTCCCAAGGATTCGTCAACGACTCTCAAATACAGTTGTCGGATGTCCCTTGGGAGTCGTTCCTCCAAATGGATGGCCGACTTTGCGAGTCGGCCATCCATTTATTTTTTAATTTTTTAATATTTTTTTTTTTGATTTGTTGGGAGTCGGCTCCCCAAACCACCCCTCATGCTTGAGGGGATTTGGGAGTCGCTCCCACATGACCGGAAGGAAATCCTTCTGGTCAATGAGAGACAACAACCTCATCAACCAGAAGGGGTTCCTTCCGGTTGATGAGGTATAACAACTGGAAGGGATTCCTTCCAGTTGATGAGGCTGTTACACCTCATCAATTGGAAGAAATTCCTTCCAATCAATGAGGTGTAACAACCTCATTGACCAGAAGGGATTCCTTCCAGTAGATGAGGTACAACAACCTCATCGACCTGAAGGAAATCCTTCTGGTCAATGAGGTATAACAACCTCATCAACCGGAAGTAGAGATGGTCGTGGATAATCCGCCGCGGATATCCGCTATCCGCTGGCGGATACCCGCCAGAGGATGCGGATTCGGGTGCGGATGTCCTTTCCCCCCCCCCCCCAAATCCCGACGGATATCCGGGTATCCCCTGGGATACCCGAGACCAATGGCCAGCTGGAAGGGTTTCCTTCCAGCCTGCAAGGTCCTTCCAGTCGGGGAGGCATGTACCTCGTCGACTGGAAGGGTTGCCTTCCAGCCAGCGAGGCATGTACCTCGCCAACTGGAAGGGTTTCCTTCCAGCCGTCGAGGTACATGTACCTTGACAGCTGGAAGGAAACCCTTCCAGCCGGCGAGGTACAGTGGGTAGACAGTGAAAAGTGGCTGCTTATTTTGGATTCCAGAGCTCTGAAACACAAACTTGAAGTCATGAGACTTGGTCAGGTCGTGCATATTAGCTCCCAAAAAATGAATATGAAATAATAAAAGCAAAAAATAAAGTTTGAAAATTTGTGAAAAATAAAAAATAAAATTGATTTTTTTCAAAAGCTTTGATATTCATTTTGGGGGAGTGGGAGTGCTGAGAGAAAGAAAGAATGGAACATTGGAAGAATGATTATAAATGAAAAAAATTGGAACCAAAAAAGGTTTAGCCAGGTTGGTGGTCCAGATTGGAGCCAAAACAGTAAATTCTAGTGCTTTGCTGCAATGTGGGCTGGTGAATGCCCCACTCAACTGCTGTTTGAAGCCATCTGAAAACCTGTTTTTCCAAAATTTTCATTTATAATCATTCTTCTCATTTCCCAATGTTTCTTTCTCTCAGCACTCCCACTCCCCCAAAATGAATATCAAAGCTTTTGAAAAAAAACAATTTTATTTTTTATTTTTCACAAATTTTCAAACTTTATTTTTTGCTTTTATTATTTCATATTAATTTTTTGAGACCTATTATGCACCACCTGACCAAGTCTCATGATTTCAAATTTGTGTTTTGGAGCTCTGGAATCCAAAATAAGAAGCCACTTTTCACTGTCTAGGCACTGTACATGTACCTCGACAGCTGGAAGGCAACCTTTCCAGCCGGCGAGGATGTGCCTCGCCGGCCATTTAGAGGGCGGGTATCCGAGGATATCCGCTCAGATACCCGCTGAGGCGGGGGGATATCCGCCAGGGGATGCGGATGCGGGTGCAGATGCTGCTTTCCCCGGAAAAAGCAACCGGATATCCGCATCCGCGCGGATATCCGGATCCAAAGTGCCCATCTCTAACCGGAAGGGATTCCTTCCGGTTGATGAGGTGTAACAACCCCATCGACCCGAAGGAATTCCTTCTGATCGATGAGGTGTAACAGCCTCATTGACGGGAAGGAATCCCTTCCAGTCAATGAGGCATAATAAATCCATCGACCGGAAGGTTCCGGTCGAGGAGAAACAACAACAGTCTTGATGACCGGAAGGGATCCCTTCCGGTCATTGAGACCCGCCTCTCTCTGAGTCTCACTAGCCGGGACGGATTCACTAAGGTCATGGAGACTGTACTGTCTCAATGACCGGAGGGAATCCCCCCGGCCAGTTGGAGGGAGCCAACTCCCAAACCTCCCACTTGCCAAGGAGGGTTTTGGGCGCCGACGCCCACCCAAAAAATAAAAATAAAATAAAATGCAATTGGGAGGTCGACTCCCAATCCCCCAGGGGGGATTGGAAAGACAACTCCCGTCCAACGACCCCTCGACCAAAATGGGAGTCGTCGGCAAATATTAGGGAGTTGTTTTTCCGACCCCCTTCTTTTTTTGTTTCCAAATGGAGGGTCTGAGTGTTGGATCGAACTTATCAAAAGCCCGCGTCCCTGCTGCGGTGTGGGGCACTGTAGCCGCTCGTCGAGTGTGCATGCACTGAGTACTCTCCCGCAGGGAGAGGACTTATGCCCGAGGGGAGCATGATACCGTGAGGCTATCATCCATTTTTGGTGGTGAAGGTTCTCATTTCTCCATAGCGCCACGAATTTTAACCTAGTTTTTTGTCCTCGTCATACATGAAGCTTATATATATTTTTGTTAATCCTGTCGACTCAAAATTTGGACCTCTTGTCCCCATCATGCCCGCTTAAGCTTCCCAAATTTTGGGTATTGCAATTTTAATCTTGCCCCTTATTGGCATAAACCTTTTTTTTCTTTTTGCTCTTTTTTCATAACGCTCCTCTTTTTTTCAACCTTTTGGACCTCTGACATAACGATTGCTTATAGCATCCTTCTTTTTTTCATTCTCCAGCTGTTATTGCATCATCCGGCCCGGTTCCCCATACATCAAACCCTCCCAAAGACACACCTCCAAGCCACCGGCCGTTGTTATCACTTCATCCGGCATCGAAAAGACGATCTGGCCATTTTGTTTGCTTTGCTTCATCCACATCGAACCCTCCCAAAGAAATACCTCCAAGCAATCAGAGTGGCCGTTATCGCTTCATCCATCCGAAGTCCGGTGAACCCTCCCGGAGACACACCTCCGATTGATTGGCCGTTTGTTATCGCTTCGATCCGAAGTGCGCTGAAACCTCCCCAACACACACCTCCAAGCGATCGGACATTAGTTATCGTGTTTTCTTCTTTTTCTGTTTTTTGTTTTCTTCTTTTTTTTTCTCTGTCAATCTTTTTCTCTTGACCTCTCTCTCTCTCGATCTCTCTCTGTTATTCTCTCTGTCATCTCGTCGGTTATATTACATGTTATGATTTGAGTTTTGTATTTCAACGGTCAACTGACCAATTAAGGAAGTAATTAGAAAAAAAAGAAAACAGTAAAGGTCCGATTAAAATACAATTGGACCCTTATTTCAAAAAGATGTACGGCTTAAACAATTTTTTTTGGTAAGAATCTGAACAGACAGAAAGATCAACAGGATGCTAAAGTATTGCTGGGAGAGAGTAGCGAGAATGGAAGAAATAACAATGATTTTAAAATTGAAAAAAAAATAAAGCTACGGTTATTCTGGACTTAGCCTCATGCAGACTTGTGTCCGTCAGGCATAAGCCCCGCCTGCACCTCACGCCTACAGGTGCTCGCGGGCTTTGTTACGCTCGGTGTTGGATTGGTTCAATCCCGTATGTAGTACTTGTATGCTTGTACTTAGGTATGCTCATATCAAGCTGTCCATTACTTCTGATTTACCGGACCCCACTCACAACGGTGGGCCGCTACACTAACCGTATTGGTTAGTGTAGCGTAACGCAGCGGAATCGCTGTTAGCAATTAGCGTAGCGTAGCGGAATTCTGCCACGACACCGCTAATGCTACGCGTGTGGGCCGCAAAAAAGGGCCCACTACGCTGCGCTACAGCGGTTTTTAGCGGTTTTTAGCCGCTTTTTTGGCTAAAAGCGCTGTAGCGCAGCGTAGCGTAGCGAAAAACCGCTAAAAACCGCTAACACTACGGTTTTTGGTGAAAAAAAAAGCGCCGCTATGCTATGCTTTTTGGGCCAAAAGCGTAGCGTAGCGTAGCGTAGCGTAGCGGCCCACCGCTGCCACTCAACACTCTCTCCTCACTGAATCATAATATAATTCTCACTGTCAAATGTCTCTTGTGAGTCTTGACATCAGTCAGTGTTTTCAGTCCCTGGTGTCCCTCAACACTGAGTGAGTTTTTCAGTTGAAAAGTCAAATTTGAATCAAGAATTTTTCCCTTTTGCCTAAGTATTTCAAGATTCCTAATGATTGCTCTGAGAGTTTTATTTATTTATTGGAACATGCACTTTTACTGATTTTTTTTTTTGGCTTGGAGAGATGTTTTCAGTATCATCATCAGGTCTCATCTCAGGATGTAAATGGGCCGGGTTCAGGTCTGAAAACAGTGCCCAAACCCGAGCCAGGGAGCATTACGGGTTGGGCCGGGTCGGGTCAAATTTGGGAAACTTGAGCCCAAACCCGAACCCGGATTCCAAGAGTTGGGTCCGGGTTGGGTCCGGGTTGGACCCGGATAATTTTTGCGATAACCAAGTTTTTTTTCATATTTGAATAATAGAAAAAAAAAATCATGTATGAATAGTAAAAAAAAAAAAAAAATATGTAAAGAAAATAAAATAAAATAAAGAGTCGTGAGTCGTGACTGGAGTGGCTGGCCTTGGGATTTGCAAAGCTTGTGCGGGAGCCTTGAGGAGTTGAAGGTTGATCGTAGACTGTAGTTCATGGACAGTTGGCACGACAGGAGTCCACTGTCCAGGACGTGACATCTCTAATGATACTGTGCCGCAGTAGTCTAGCAAGCGCACGGGCCGTTGTAGGCTGAAATTTGTCCAAAACAAAGTGTGAGTCGGGTTTGTGGGCCGGCCCGAAATAAGAGTCCCCTGCCCAAACCCAAACCCAATTCTGTACCGGGTCTTCCCGGGTCGGGTCAGGATTTGATTTTTGGGTGTGTAGGCTGCCCAAACCCGGCCCAAAACCCGACGGGTCTCGGGTTGGTACCGGGCCGACCCGACCCATTTACATCCTGAGTCTCATCTTGAGGTTGATTTTCACAGAAAAAAAAAGTTTGAAATGGCAAGATGCAATTAGTTCTTTGGGGTGAAAAGTCTAATGGATGAAAGGAGAAGGTGTTACAGAGAATCAAATGGGTTAGTGATCATGGACTTTGTTTCTCCAAAATACTTATTCATGTATGTGCCTGACCACATATTCTTAATAAATACTTATAAGAGGTCTTTGTGCATCGTATGGGTGAGCAGTGTTCCCTTTTTTTTTGGGGGGGGGGGGATGGGACTAATAGGACGGTTCACGTCTGAACTTTGGAGCAAGTTTTATAGCATTTATCATTAAAATTTTCCAAGTTTGTCCAAAATCTCAAATTCCTCCAGACCTGATGATTCATGAGATTTGACAAAATTCATAAAATTTTATCCATAAAAGTGCTAAAAGTTGCCTTGAACTTCAGACGTGAACCGGCCTAATGGGAGTATCTGGAACAGGGGCATATTGTGCCCCCTTTGCTGAGTCCGAGTCTGTTCCCTCCTGCAATTGGAGGGGCCCTGGTTGACGCCATCCCGTGGGGCCCCTCCCAGCTCCGGCTGGCACCTCCGGCTGCATGACGACACGGACGCGCGGCCACAAGGGAATGCAGGCGCCCCGGGAACTACATACAACCACATCTTTGAGACCCGACATTTTTATTTTTTTTGAATCGCCCGGGTCACGGGTGTGGACGTAGGGGCTTGTAAGCATGGCGGAACCCGATACGCTAACACGGCATCAGCTTCGGCATCAAGCAGGTAAACTTTTCATCAAAATCATCAATCCGAACTTTGAGGCTGACCTGCCTGGAACCTCGTCTAGAATTCGCTGCAAAGGTATTCGGACGTCTGGCCGAGTACGACTTCCAACGTGGACTCACTGATACCCCGGTCGATCTTTCTATCGAGCGACTGCGTTCTAACGAGGATATCTTAACCGAATTGCACTCTACCTTGCTGCCTCTACTACGAAAGCAAATCATTGATCTTTTCGACGCTATGTGGATGCCAAACCGCGTACCGAAAACACATTACGTTTCCAGCCTCAACTTGAAGCTCGTAATAGAAATCCAACCAAAACTTGAGCTGAATTTGGATCGTATAAATCGGATCATCGACGATATCATTCCTGGACGAATACATGAATCAAGCCAAATATGTGATCAGCACTTCAAACAGTTCAAGTGCTATAGGCTTCGTGGCTTGGATCGCACGATCAGGGAAGAAATGAACGATGAGCTCGCTACTTTCTTTTTGCATTCCCGTTGGTTCGTTGAAACAGTCCCTCCGCCAGTGGAACGCCAAGTTTACCAGGGATCAGCATTTGTCCATTCACTGAAGACCATTGACGCAGCTATCACATGGTCCAAAGGATCTGAATTACATATCATCTATGATTATTGGCACGAAAAACTGCAAGCAATAGATACCTCATTAGACGACCTGTTTGTATTGGCCGATCCAGAAAACGAACGTCAGATACAACCAATCATTCAGCTCTCCCAATCATTCGTACCACTCATCAAACTATCGAAGATATTTTTTAAAAAAATCGCATCGGAGGGAATGGACAAAAATAATGCACCGCTCTTTACAGAAATGTCTTCTCATCAACTTACCTTGTTCGAAAACACGGTTGGAGAAATCGAAGAATCCGTCTTTAGTATAGTGTGTTCCTTAGAAGATTCCGATGAATATAGCCCGAACTTTACTGTGCATCTGAATGACAAAGTCAAGGCCCTGATATCTCAATTTCAATCTTGTTTGCTTCTTGTAGACCTTTACATTGTTCCTTTATTCACAGAGATAAATGTTTGTTCGTCACAAAGTTACTTCAAAACTTGGATTGTTACTTGGAACACTTTGTTATCCCAAGCGACTCACAAGGCCTTCCATGCATGTAAATTATATCGAACAGATTGAGTGACAGATGTGTTCATTTGGCCTTTTATTTTTATGTTATTTTGCTCTCCCCATTTGACCCCAGCAGATTTAACAGCTTATAGGTACTGGGTTAACCTGGATTTGTCTCTTTGCCAAGTCTTGAGCAAAACACACAAACTTCTGATTGCTTGATTGAATCCATTTACATGCATACTCTTGAATTCAATTTTCTTTCTCTTGTTACCTTGAGTTTGAGACGCTTGGTTGAAAGATTTTGGAAACTAAAGTTTTATTTCTTTATTAATTCATCTTTTCTTATAACATGAAATACAATATATATTGATAAATGAGAAAAGGCTTTTTACCTAAAGGCAGAATAGAATCTGAACTAGGTAAGATAAAGAAATAATAATGATAATGACTTGATGGTTAAATGCTATGATCGGACAGGTATGAAGTAACGATCTAGAATAAAAGAAAACATGTTCATTAGTTTGCTATTTTATCTTTTCTCTAAAAGTATAAATAATTTGATAAAGAAAATAACTGTACTCGTTCTTGAGACTAAGTTATTTCTTTGTTGATTGTTATTTAGATTGTTCGGTTGACGGTGCTATTTTATAAGCATTTCTTTGGTCAGTTATATTGTTCTCTTTCTTTGAAATAAAGAAAGGCTATAATACTCACCGACAGACGATGAGGAGATTCTATCGATGAGGGTAATCGACGTATTTCGGTTGATTGAACTAATAATGATTGTTGAAGCGAATAGAGTGATTGTTAATGATTACTCTATCTGCTTGATCGTTGATCATCGAGACTCACCTAGAGCTCGATGATTGACAATCATCATTATTTAGAATCATGACATCATTGACGTCATTTCCTCTTTCACAAGCTTGTCGCTTGGCTATGCTATTGCATAAATTATGTTCTTTACATGATCGAATAAACATGATCAGTATAAGCTTTAATTCTCTAGGTAGCTTCACAATCTAAGTGTGAGGCTTACCTGCTACTCTCCTCTTTCGAGGGCTATGTTGAGAACTGGAATTCCAACATTGGTCCCAATAACAGTACAAGCCCAAAAAGATTGGTATTCAAGGACAAGAGACCTGATGAGGGTATGAGCAGTTGCTGATCAGAAATAGATAAGACGTAAATGAAGGGTTTTAGTTGGTAATCTATTTTCCCCATTGTTTCCAAGGCATTTTGGTATATGTCAAACTAATGATCAGTTTATAATGTTTCTTTCTGATATTTTGCATGGCTTGCAAGTTTATCTGGGTTATAAATTTTGGCAATATTTCTATCTCAAAAATGTAGAAAAACATTATCCCATATTTGATTCTATAAAAATATTATCCCTGGAAAAATTCACAATCAACAGCTTAGTTGGGAAACCAGCAGATAGCACCAGAATTGATTATATGGAAATAGAAAACCAAGGGCGGAAAGCTGCACTGTTTCCTTTTGGTGTAGCGCAGCACTCCCCTGCTGTACCAAGATGGTGTGGTGGTTGAGCTACAAAACATTGGCACCAGCCAATGAGAGGATCTGCACCCACAAAAAAATTGACTGCATTTGCCAGCCTTTCCCTGCAGGAAGCCAATGACAAAAAGTAAGCCTTCCACCAAGGGATACTTTACTCGAGTTAGATTGTTCAAAGCTTATCCCACCCAAAAAAAGGGATAAATCGGGTTGCGGGTGGAGTGGTGTGACTGGGGGCCTAGGAAATCAATTAGGGTTGATTTTGGGGTGGCTGCGAGACTGCGCAGAGTCGCGACTGCCCCTTCCAAGCTTCAACAGCGCGACGATCCCCACAATTTATTACCAGATATGTGACCAGGTATTGAAGCTGATAAGATCTCACAAAGCATCTTCCTAGTTGATTTCAAATAAAATAAAAGAACATTTTTACCTTTCCAAGTCAAATCAGTATTCCAATTCAGATTATCTATTTTGGAATGGCACTGGATCTTTCGGGCGTCCCTCTTAGTGTTTCTTTTCCTGAAATAGTGAAAAAATTCAAGTGGCTAGATTGCGCTCATGCGACTTGATTGAGAGTGACAGGAATTCATATTATTTTTGTTGGGCATAAGAGAAGGGGATTAATCTACAACAAAGTTTTCCAATACAGACAAATACAAGAAAAGAAGGCCATATGGACTGATTCAGCAGGGATATTCCCATGGCGGTAGTTCAACTTCAACTCGGCAGATAGGGCAGCCCAAGTGTCCTTCTAGCCATTGCTGGAGTAGAGCGGAAGTAGATTGAAATCAGATATGAAGTATGGAAAGTGAAGTAAAGACGAGTTTGCTTACCTGAATGCAGTCGCGGTGGAAAAGGTGGGAAGGATGACATGGAAGCTGAATAAGACTTTTTTCAGGGTTGGAGAGCTCATCAATGCAAACCGTGCAGTCCAAAGCTTCGCCGTCGGGGTTTGATGGCAGAGTGGCGGGAGTGGTGTCGGAAAGAGCGTCCAGCCGTTCTTCAACCAGAATTCTTCGCTTCCTACGGGAGAGAACCCGAGATTCCTCCAGTTCATCAATCACACGAATCCAATAAAGCCACACGTCGAACAAGGGTCCGGCGACTTTCCGCTCCAAACGTTCCAAGAGGTCATCGACTTGATCGACAAAGCGAGAGTTGTGAGCCTGTTCCTCGGCATTGAAGCGAGTTCGGAGAGGGTCGCGGTACAAATCGCCATAGGCCTCTTGCAAAGACGCAATGAAAAGCTTAAAAAGATCCCGATCTTCAGGTCCGAGGGGCGCTAAAGCCGCGTCCGTCATGTTTAATATTTCTTGATCCATTTTATTATTATTTCAAGTATTAGAATGAGGTTTTTTGTTGATAAGGGTCTGGAAGAAGATGGGATGGGATGGGATGAGATGGGTGAAGTTTTTTTCGAAAACTGGAGTTGGGGAAAAGATCACTGCTGCTGGAACCGCTCTTCCATTTAAACCTTTGATCAATGCTGAGCCTGGCTTCAGTAGCACTTGCAGCAGGCCTCGAGGGTAGAAGGATTTGTGTAACTTACATACTTTGTGCCGGCTGCTGTAGAGTAGGCTCGTTTTGCCTTTCATCAATGCTGCTGAGCCTGGCTTTGGTAGCAACGGCCAGCAGGCGTGTAGAGTAGGCTCATTGTGCCTTTCATCATTCCGAGGCGAGCTTGGCAGTGAAATGAACTGAAAGAAGGTGTAGACGTTGAGTTGCTTAGCACGTTTACATCTTACATCAATTGCTTCGGCTGCTACAGAGGAGTTTCACTTTACTTCAAGTGAGTTACACAAGGAAACAAGCGTACAAAGGTGATGACTCGTTTCTTTTTCTTGAAGATGTACCAGTTATTCTTCCTCTTTGAGTGTGAGCTTTAGAGCCGCGTGCATTAAACGAAAATAGCTTCCTCCCTTGCTGGTATTAGTAATTTTGAAGCCTCCGCTGAAGTGCTGAATTACAAAAGGAACGCGTTGTTGTCTCTTTGCAAGATTGTATTTTTCCGTTTTTTGATATGATCAAGATGTAAAAACTCGCCGAATTCAGCTTGAACCCATTGGTTTCTTTGACCACTAGAGGCAAATCAGCAGCAAACCTCTCTCAGTGTCCATCTACGCAATCAAACCTTCAGGTTCAATCCATCTTTGTGCAGAGACCAACAGAGCTGGCCCAATCAAGGATAACAAATCCCAGTACCTCTAGGGAAACGGTTTGCGGCATGAGAGCCACATGAAAACAGGATCAGCCTCGGCGGAATCTGAACAGGTTTCTAATTGGTTTAAGATTCTTTTTTTCATTTATGCGGTATCTATCTCATGGAGTAATTGCTTTACGGGGATCTCTTTCTCACCCGGACAGAAATTTCCTACCCTTCTTTAGGATTGGGCCGGCTCTTCCGGTTCCTCCACCCAGATAAATTCAATCTGAATGCTTGACTCCTGGGATGGAAACTGGGACAGGGTAGAAGAAACGGAAGGTTTTCAATTGAGCTCGGAGAGTTTTTTTCATCCCGATCATTTCTAAAAACGCGAAATACATTTTACAAAAAGCCAACAACGCGTTCATTTTGTAATTCAACACTTCAGCGGAGGCTTTAAAAATACTAATACCAGCGAGGGAGGAAGCTATTTTCGTTGAAAGCACGCGGCTCTAAAGCTCACACACACACTTACAGGGGAAGAATAACTGGTACATCTTCAAGCAAAAGAAACCAGTCTTCACCTTTGTACGCTTGTTTCCTTGTGTAACTCACTTGAAGTAAAGTGAAACTCCTCTGTAGCAGCCGAAGCAATTGATGTAAGATGTAAACGTGCTCAGCAACTCAACGTCTACACTTCATTTCAGTTCAATTTGCTACCAAGCTCGCCTCGGAATGATGAAAGGCACAATGAGCCTACTTTACACGCCTGCTGGCCGTTGCTACCAAAGCCAGGCTCAGCAGCATCGATGAAAGGCAAAACGAGTCTACTCTACAGCAGCCAACACAAAGGATGTAAGATACACAAGAGCCCTCTGTCCTCGAGGCCTACTGCAGGTGCTGCTGGAGCCTGGCTCAGCATTGATCAAAGGTTTAAATGGAAGAGCGGTTCCAGCAGCAGTGATCTTTTCCCCAATTCCAGTTCTCTAAAACAACTTCACCCATCTCATCCCATCCCATCCCATCTTCTTCCAGACCCTTATCAACAAAAAACCTCATTCTAATACTTGAAATAATAATAAAATGGATCAAGAAATATTAAACATGACGGACGCGGCTTTAGCGCCCCTCGGACCTGAAGATCGGGATCTTTTTAAGCTTTTCATTGCGTCTTTGCAAGAGGCCTATGGCGATTTGTACCGCGACCCTCTCCGAACTCGCTTCAATGCCGAGGAGCAGGCTCACAACTCTCGCTTTGTCGATCAAGTCGATGACCTCTTGGAACGTTTGGAGCGGAAAGTCGCCGGACCCTTGTTCGACGTGTGGCTTTATTGGATTCGTGTGATTGATGAACTGGAGGAATCTCGGGTTCTCTCCCGCAGGAAGCGAAGAATTCTGGTTGAAGAACGATTGGACACTCTTTCCGACACCACTCCCGCCGCTCTGCCATCAAACCCCGACGGCGAAGCTTTGGACTGCACGGTTTGCATTGATGAGCTCTCCAACCCTGAAAAAAGTCTTATTCAGCTTCCATGTCATCCTTCCCACCTTTTCCACCGCGACTGCATTCAGGTAAGCAAACTCGTCTTTACTTCACTTTTCATACTTCATATCTAATTTCAATCCACTTCCTCTCTACTCCAGAAATGGCTAGAAGGACACTTGGGCTGCCCCATCTGCCGAGTTGAAGTTGAACTACCGCCATGGGAATATCCCTGCTGAATCAGTCCATATGGCCTTCTTTTCTTGTATTCGTCTGTATTGGAAAACTTTGTTGTATATTAATCCCCTTATCTTATGCCTATCAAAAATAATATGAATTCCTATAACTCTCAATCAAGTCCCATAAGCGCAGTTTAGCCCTTGAAATTTCTCCACTGTTTGAGGAAAAGAAACACTGTGACTGAGAGGGACACCGGAAAGATCCAGTGCCTTTCCAACATAGACAATATGAATCAGAATACTGATTCAACTTGGACAAATTGCAAGGTGATATTATGCCTGCCTATAAATGTGGACCACTGCGATTTGTATATCTCCGTTCACGGTTGTGGTAATTGCTTCTCGATCATCTGGTCATACAAAGTGTTGAAGCTTGGATGGGGCAGTCGCGACTTTGCGCAGCCGCGCAGCCACCCCAAGATCTACCTCGATCGATTTCCTGGGCCCCCAGTCACACCACTCCACCTGGAAACCACCATCTTCCCCTCCTCAACCCTCAACCCGCCGTACTCATGTGTCAATCTCGGCTGGCTAGGACGGAGAGTCAGACAGCTTCTCCCGAGACCGAGCCTCAAGTTGTTGCCGGGATCGAGCCTCAAGGTGTCGCCGAGCTCGAACCTCAAGCTGCCGCCGAGACCGAGCCTCAAGCTGCCGCCGAGACCGAGCCCCAAGCTGTCGCCAAGACCGAGCCTCAAGCTGCCGCCGAGACTGAGCCCCAAGCTACCGCCGGGATCGAACCTCAAGCTGTCACTCAAATTGGAGTGTCTTATGAGAAGCTGCCTGAAGACATGCCCGACGACAGATCACTTGATCAAGCTTTACCTATCGAGAAGCCCGCAGAAGCCGTATCAGATGAGAAGAACCAAGCCGTAACTGATCAGCAGATACCTCAACCGGAAGCCCCACAGGCACAGCAGAAGACTCGGCTTCTATGTAAACCGTGCAACCGAAAGTTTGCGGAAGAGACGCATTACGAGAACCATCTGATTCATTCGCCTCGACATTTCTACTGCAAAAAGTGTAAGAGGGACTTCGCATCCGAGTCGGCCAGACAGGCCCATCTCACCCATGCTCAAGTTCACAAGGTCTGTAAATGGTGCAAGGACGAGAAGATCACTGACCTCGCAATACATAACCGTTGGTATCATCGGGAATGTACCCGTTGTAAAAAACTCTTCGAGGATAATAAAAAGTATCACGACCATTGTCGGATTGTTCACTCTACAATTTATTGCCAATTTTGTTATAAAATGTTTAAGAACAGGAATGACCTAAAGATGGTGAGAAGGTCATTTTTGCATCCAAAGTCGGCTGATTTTTTATTATATACTAATTATCCATTAATTAATCATAGCATGATTTATCACGTCGCCACCAATTTCGTGGCTTCAGCTGTCCTTCTCGGGAGTGTCGAGGATCGTTCCTCAGCGAATCCGGAGTCTTAGCGCACCTAGAATCGGGGTGTTGTACTTCAGGAGCAGACCAAGCGATGGTCGACAAATCGATGGTGATACAAGACTCGAAGCAGGTCTTTATTAGACACGCACGAGTCGCCTTACCGGAGGAGCGAGAGGTACCGATTGAAAAGACCATCAACCCCTGTCCACTCTGTCCCAAAAAATTCCGCTACCGTGCCGGTCTCCTCCAACATCTCGGCTCCTCTAAACATACCAATAAAGGTCGGGAGCCTTACAAGTGTCCCGCCTCGACTTGCGATAAAGCTACCTTCCCGTCCCTCAGCTCTCTCTTGCTTCATAAAGAGAGAGGCAAGTGCAACTTGGATTTGAATAGTGCCATCGTAGAATTGCTGGATCACTATCTCCACCACTTATATGATGGAATTCGAAAGATGTGAATAAATTGTCCATAAAACGTGTTTAACTCGTTTTCGAACCTCCTCAGCCAACCAACCACTGTCAAACAGTCGCAGGTCTGCTCAGATTTCGTCCTGAGTCTTGAAGCGCTCAAAAGAAGGGTACGACGCCCCGTGGCATCCCAAAGAAACAGAAAGAAAATCTATGCCATGTAATTTAAGCCTTCAATAGACTATCGTTGCTCTTCTCTCTCTCTCTCTCTCTCTCTCTCTCCTAAAACCTCACACGTACGCGAACTTAATCTACACTCTCCTCCTCATCTCTATCTTTTCGTTCCTTATAAATCCTTGTTTCCGAAGATTTTCAGATGCCTTTTTTCCTACTATCATCCAACTTCCACATACTTTTTTTTTTCGAAGCAAAAAGCAGTAATCTAGATATTACGCAACTTCACCGATCTTCACATCTTTATATATATCCGGTCGCATTCCTGTTATGTAGTCAGAAAAAAAATCTATCAATAACTACTCTGTTTTTAGCGCAATCCATTGATCCATTCTTCACAAATTTTTGTTTCTTAATTTCTCATTGGGGGGGGGGGGGGGCTTATACGGACATTTACCACAAGGGTAACCATTAAGACGGCTGGTACGTAAGAAGCAACAGAAATCTGGTCAGTGTTTGCAAGAAAACCTGCGTCTTCAGTCAAATTCACCCTTGCAAGTCTGTCTTAACTCTAGGGCGAGGCCTGCTCGGACACTACCAGCAGTGAGTTGCTGGACAATTCTAATCAAACTTGATGCTTGGGAGGATTTTCCCTTACCTGCTCATGAGCACCTGCACTGGGACAGAATTAACTGGTCAGTTGGTGGCTCATAAAGTCGTCACTCGGAGCAGTGGATGCTGACTGCTGGTAATCGACTGGGCTTTCATGACAAGTGCCTGTGCCAAAGTAGTCTTGAATCCCCTTATGCATGTGCACTGCTTGCCGTTCACCAAAAAGTAATACTTTCTTTCAAACCTTTCGGGACCCCTAGTTTCCCCCCCTGCAGTTTCGACTGGTTCATCAGAGCCGTCCGGTCTTCTTCTGCAAGTCTTCTGGCTAAACTCCACTTGTGTCGTACATACATAGCTTGTAAAATTCATACACATTTGTCCGGTTGCTCCCAATTATCATTAAGTTTTCATCAGTATCACTATGTACGGGTTTCATGGGATTGGGCTTTGGACGTATGAGTAGCTGCAGGAGACATTTCCCAACGCTTTGTCAATCATGCATTCATCAAACCAATATCATCGGGACGAAATCGGTTAAACTACTGGACACAAGACACTTCTTGAAGGGAAATAATACAGTGAATTCTGGTCTGGTTAGTTATACACAGTGACAACCATGCGTTGCTCAGAAGCTCATTCTATCCTCCCGCATGAAGCAGCTCGCCAAAGATGAGGCATCGAGATTATCGTTCTTTGATTATTTATTCATTAATTAGCGCAACCTGCAGTGCGCTAGATCACCCAGTCCACGTCGAAGATTGCCGATTGCTAGAATGCGGAGAACACCACGATATTTTGAGCGGTATCCAGCATCCCAGCATCTCTGCCAACCTACTAGATCACCCTACGGACAGATCAAGATCGCCATCGGACTCAAACGACCCAAAAAGCTCTTCAGCCGACTCGGTATATTTTCCGCAAGAGCGATCTCCGCCACATGTCTCTTTCGCATCTAGCTGGCCAGAGTCACCGGGATCTATTGACCAGTTTTCGGCTTGGAAAATGGAAATTGATGAACACTTGCCCCCAAATTACTCCTCTCAGCCTTTGTATCAACCCAGCGCGGAATCCAGGTTACCACCCAGTTCGAAAGCAAATATCGATGAAAAGTTCACTTTTGCGCAACTCCCAGCCGTGAACAAAGAACCTCATATCTCGAACAAAGTAGAATATCTACTCTCCAATACAGAAGCACCTCAGGTATCAAGCCAAGAGGTAACTCAGATCTCAAGCCAAGAAGTAACTCAGATCTCGAGCCAAGAAGACAATCAAATCACAGGCAGAGAAGACAATGAGTTCTCAAGCAAAGAGGTGCCTCAGATCACATCCAAACCATCCACCAAAAACGCGAAATTTAGGCCAATGTCCAAAAAGTTCAAACCACCCTACGATTTCCATGCAGGCAGAGTAAGAACTCCTGCAGCAATTGAAAAGTCCAATGAGTTAGAGCTGAAATTTGAAAGGAACAAAGAAAGAAGGAAGTTGATCGATTTGGAAGACCTGGCCACAATCCTCAAAAAGGGTGTTCGTCTTCTCAAGAAATCAGACAGCCATGCTGAAATTGATCGGTTGCCAAGATTGAGCTTTGATCGGTATGCATTTTGTGATGAAAGGCGAAACGAAAAGTTAGAAGAACATGCGCTCTTTCCAATACTCGATAGCATGAAGATATCCGAAGGGGGAAGGATGGAACTACAGGAATGGGAATTTAAAAATTTTATTGGCTCTAAATATAATCCGTTGAGGTACAAGGAAAAGCGGCAAGATGTTGAAGATAAATGGACAGACAAACTGCGCTTATTTATGGAGAATCAGGAGGTGTGGGAGACGTACTGGGACCGGATCAACTTGGAGGCTTGTAATGATCAAATCGAATCGAAGAAATTTCAAAAACTACTTCCCTTGTTCTTGTTCTACGTTGAGATGATCAACGTGGTTGTACCAAGGCCTGAAGGACAAGAAGTGAGCGAAGATGTCGAATTAATAATGGCGTGTACGGTGTTTATCAAGTATGCTCAGCAAATCACCAAATACGTCAAAGACCACGCCGGCTTAAGAATTACTACCTTAAAATCAAGGAGTCCAGAAAGAATTGAATTAAGCTACCATAGGAATCTGTTCACTCCTGATCCTAATTGTCAATATACTAGGTTCACTCTTTGGGTATTTCTAGAAGTTTGGATGGAAAATTCTAGACCATACTTTTTCTTGAAACATCAAACTGACACTGGCCTCTTCTTAGTTGGTGGTAGAAAGTTATTTAATGAGCTCTTTGATTTCTCTATTGAGAATTTCATTTCAAGATTCAAACAAAAGATAAAGCAGATGTAGATATTTTTGGGCAGCAGTTAGAAAACAAAAAGACCTATTATTTCTGGTTCCCAAAGGTAGACCATAAGAACATGTTTTTTCCTCCATATTCTTTTTTTGAGATTCCCCACATTTTGATTTCTCAAAGTTATTTAATTGATTTGTTATAACATTCATTGTTTTTTTTGTAGGGGGTTAAGTAATCAACTCCCATGTTTTGGAGTTTTGACTCCAAAACCTGGAAGTTGTCCCCCAGACACCTGGCCTGATTTCCTTCCTGGGTTGTGGGATTTGTTCCTCCAAAACCAGTGGAAGAATGGGAGACAGACTTCTGGATGTTTTGTTTTGGAAAAAATATTTCTTGGGGGGAGGGGGTGGGAAGGTTGGACATTCCTCCAATACATGAAGACTTCTCACCTCTCCATGAGCAAGAGAAACCCTTTTGGTCCATGCCTAGAGGTAAAGATCCATGTGAACTTAGCTAAGTCCCCTCCTGGGCCCAAAGAGCCCCCCCTCCAAAGGAGGGGACTGGTGAAAGAACCAACTTTTTTGGAATGAAAGGTTTTTCAAGATTGGCAGAGATTTTTCTATTTTTTTGAATAACTCTTGAATTATGCATGGTATGGTGGAATTGAAAAAAGGGCAGAGGCACCTTGCTCTTCTCCTCACCAATTTTGGTGGTCCTTATTTCCCTCCTTCCTCCCACGATGGGCATCCAAAGATCATCATTCTTGGACTTTGCTGGCTGTGAAATAAATGGATGTCTCCAGGTGGGAAAAAATTATAAAACCCTTTGGTTTGGTTTTTAACAGCATCAAGATACTCAAAAGATACAGATAAAACTGAAGATTTAGACTAGCTTCTCGGCTATCAATTGCATTCTTGATGAAGAATTATGCTTGAAATGGGGCAGAGATATTTCCAAGCAAAACACATCATTTTTGTATACCTCATATTCCAAAAAAAATGTTCTTTCATAAGTCCCCTCCTTTGGAGGGGAGCACTTTGCACCCAGGAGGGGAGTTTTTTTTGTTCTTGGAGATACATACAGCTGCGTGGGAAAAAGGAACCCTTTTTTTCATGGAGGTACAGCTGCTATTGCTGCTAAGCTAAAGTGCTTTTAGCAGCAAAAAGGCACAAAAACTGCTAAAAAGTGCTCTAGTGCAGCATAGTGGGGACACATTTGTTCCCTGTGGGTGTAGCGTTAGTGTGATTCCACAAATCTGTGCTAATGCTACACTACATGTTAGTGCAATTTTGCACCCTCTGCCAGTGGTGGGCCGCTACGCTACACTATGCTACGGGCCCATGTAGCGTTAGCGTAGCGGCACCAATTTTTTTCGTGTAATGTTAGCGCGTCGCTACCGCCGCTGAGCTACGCTAATTTGTAGCGGCGCTAACACTAGCCATTTTTTGGTGTAGTGTTAGCGCGCCGCTGGCGCCACTGCGCTGCGTTACGCTATGCTACAGCGTTTTTAGCGGCAAAAAACGCCGAAAACCCGCTCAAAATCGCTGTAACGCAGCGTAGCGGGCAGTTTTTGGCGGCCTGTGCATGTAGCGTTAGCGCATATGGGGGGAATAACGCTAAAGCTACGCTAAACGTTAGCGCACGTTTTTGCCCCATTCACGTAGCGTTAGCGCAAAAAATGAAAAAAGCGCTAACACTACACTAAATTGTAGTGATTTTTTGCTACACTACGCTATGCTAACGCTACGGTTAGCGTAGCTGGCCCACTGTTGCCTCTGCATTTTATAGTGTTAGCGCAGATTTGTGGAATTGCACTAACACTAAATTAAAAAATAGTGTATTTTAGCCATGCTACACTATATTTAGCATAGCTGGCCCACTGTTGCTTGTTCTCTCTAGTTCAAAGCCAAACATGATTTGCATTTTTTTTTTCAGGTTGAGAGGCACTGAGGCAGTGAGGTACCATGAAATGTAGTTCTTTGTCCTTCTTTCTATCTGCCATGATTGTTCATGACAATCATGGACAGCCAAACAAGGCCCAAGTTCCACTGTGTTGCTATAGGCGCGCCACAGTTTCTGAGTTGTAAATTTAACAACTTGTACAACTCTTCACGGTAGAGATGGTCTAAGCTTCAACCAATGCATATCATCACCATCTGCAGGTTCAACTTCTCACTTAATCAGCTCAATGATCTCCCATCTTCACTCAACCAAAAATGGAAACTTGATGCTAGTTATTCCTAAAACATTCCTGAATGCTCTAGTCAATTTCCCAAAGAAAATATTGTGACAGAGTGCTTTGATGGAACTGTGAATTATCACATCTTATTGCTCAAAGGAGGAAACAATTGCACCAACACCTTGGAACAAATAGTATGGTTACTTGGACACCTTGGTGACCCTTCTGGTCATCAACTCAGTTTCTCACCCACCTCAAGCTTTCTAGTCTATCAGTCAAAGACATGGTGATCTATTGGGATGAACTTGACCAACAAAACTATGCATCCAATGCCATTAATCTTGCTTAGGAAGAAGGGAACCAAGGACCCAGGAAAGCCTCTATATTAGTAACCAACATGTATGACTTTTTGGTCAAAAACCAAGAAAGGTACTCACCCCAAATGTATGAATTGTTTTTTTCTGCCCAGCTGAAAGGTTAAGGCACTCATATCAAAGGTATGGATTATTCCCTGAAGAAGGAGAGGTAGTAACCAAATTAGGTGTATGAGAGTCCCAATTTATTTTTGGCCACAATGCTCCCCAAGGCCCCTGTTCTAACTTGAAAGCCCAGGCCCAATGGTTTGAAGGGCTGATGTGCAGTTCAGAGGGGCTGTTTGCACCACCAACTTGAAGTGAGGACTGGTGTATGGTTAGCCCCTCTCCCCCCCTTTTTGTTGCCTCTTTTACCCCTTCCCCTCCCTCATGTGCTGAAGGTACACACCAAAAATGTATGGATTTTTCTGGACCTACCCACAAAACATGTATGAATGGGCTCCAGAAAATGTATGAATTTTTCATAAATCTCAGGTTTTTTTTGGTTACTGTTGTGTTCTATAGGGGCTTTCCTGGGCCCTGGGAAAAAGGAAGGACTTGGGGCAAGCAAAAAAAGAACACCTGGAAAATGAAAAGCAAGGCTGGGAGAACTGCTCTCCTTGATCCCCTTTCCAGATTGAGTGACCATGAAATTCTCGGGCTGGTCAAGTGTCCAAGAACCAACATCAACACAAACGGCCTCAATCTCTCCGGAATCTAGTGTGTTTTTTTCCCTTCTCACTCATATGTGTAAAACTTCTAAACTATGCAATTCCAATCACTTGTTTTTCCCTTACTTCGTTATGGTACTCTCATGATTCAAATGAATTTCAAAGGTAGACATTAAATTTGGAAGAAGAAAAAAAAAAAAAAAAGAATCTATGCAAGATGAAAGTGAAGATGATTTCTAAGGGCACGTTTCCTGGGGGTTCCCAACAGACGTGATAAAGACTACATGGTTTATGAAACCGTTGATAGGCTTTGAGGAGGTGAAGGCAAATTATCTGAACCATTACAAAAAGATAATACACGGATTAGACAAGCAAGCGTGCCACGTGGCAGGAACACAAGAAGAACCGAAAAAAAAAGAAACTGGAATACTCACGATGTGAATGCATGTGATATCAGAGCTGAGCTATGATATTATACAACCGATTGAGTAATTTAGGAAATTCGAATTTATGAGCCATTTCGCAATGGCCGGCTTCACGATGCAACAAGAGAGCACTCAAGGAGAAGAAGGTAGCCTGACGACAAAGTTGAGAGGGACAGATGTAAGGTTTATGGCCGCGATTTTTATGTCTAGGGGAGTCGAGATGTTGGCGAAGTTGGGCGGGATGATCGAAGAGTAGCGGACAAAGTGGGCACGGAAACCGGCCCTCATAGTCCGACTCGATCGTCCATTCACATCGTCTGAAGATCAAGTCTCGTCTCACAAATAGTCCTTGGTGGTCACAATGGCTACCGAAGAATTCATCCACGTCATCCAGGTTGACTCCCGATGGACAGATCCCTGCTTCGAAGTGCGAAATCAGGGCTGACGTGCTCACAAATGATCGCCCGCAAGCTTGGTGAGGACATCTGACATCCCTTGGCTGATGGACCGAAGACCTGTGATGCTGTTGATCGATAGGTTAAAAAAACAAGGGGTTCATAAGCCATGCCTGATAATCACTGAAGGGGGGTGAAAAAAAAACAATATGTATGCGTCTTGATTCTGAGGGACTGAGGGCTGACCATGATCAAATTATTGGGCTGTGAGAACAGCAATCCACAAGGGGCGCAATAGACATCGGCATGGGCAGAGATCAGATGACGACGAAGATGGGCCTGGTCACGGGACCATAGGTTGCACTTCTGACATTGGACATGAGACTGTTGACAGTGAGCGCGAAGGTTGCTGCCGACGTCAGATTGACACAATTGGCAGAATTGGTGTTGGTCGGATTGGGCGAGATGAGCTTGCTTAGCCCGTGCGGACCGGAAATCGATCCCACATGGTTGGCAGTAATGATGGCGAGAGGAGTTGAGGAGATGGTGTTCATAGTCTGGGTGGTCATAGAAGTTCGATCCGCAACAAGTGTAAGCAGGATCGTTCGGTACTACTACGCAATAACCGGTGTAAGCTATCATCGTCCGGCTCGGCCTAGTGCTTGGGGATCTCAAGAAGGCTCCGTAATGTGGGTTGGGTGAGATTGGATTGAAAGGAGATGTTTTGTCTGGCTGGCGTGAAGGACTGTCGAAAGACGGTCGATCCAGGGTTTAAAAGAACGACACACACAGGCTTGGCAGATCCACCCACCGAGCGCAGGCTGAAGAAGAGCAGCGTTGTCGAGGCCCACAGGTGCACACGACACACCCTGACCCAGCTAGGATCACAATCCGTCTCCACTCCCTTAATCTACATACTTGAATACAGAGATCCTCCATCCTCACTTGCGTAACCTGGTTGCATCCTTGGAATGGCAGCACAACAGGTTTTCGTCTTCCCAACGCCCTGAAACATGGGACCAGCTAAACATTTTGGACATAGCCGGATGAGGCTGGATCCCCATCATCCAAAGGACGCATGGCCCAGTGGTAAGGCGCTCGCCTTCGATATGGGATGAGTAGCTTTCCTTGAGAGCGAGAGATCGTCGGTTCGACCCCGGCTGCGTTCATGTTTTTTGTGTCGTCTTTTCATGATCGTGCACAGAAGTGGACTCTTTTCTGGACATGTTATCTTGCAATCTGCTTATGTTTTCGATGCCCAATGTCTGACTCTGGGGATACGAACATGGTTCATATGGGCTCTCTTATCTAACTTAACTAAGTCCCTCCGGCAGTTGATCCGATGGCTTGCCGGAGGAGTTAGCTCTCTTATGGTAATAATCTCTGGCTGGATTATGGATCTTCCGCTCATGACAGAACAGTTTGGAACTGAAACACTGGCGACGCGTTCAAAAAGATTCCAACAAGATCACAGAATCATAGCGTTTTCTATGGGAAATTCTGGGTTTGATCAATGGACCAATGTGGCAAGCAGATAATTATGGCATACATGATAGATATTTAGACACACATTTTTTGGTTTGTTTTGTTTTTGACGATCAAGAAAAGAATTCGGAATGTGAGCCTACATTTAGTGGATGTCTTCCGGTTCGAAAAGAGATAGCAGTCGGTTAAAAGTAGACTACTGCTTGAACGTGGAAGGTCAGCTCGAAGTTTCGAACGAACGCACAAGAGACGAAACACAAAAAACAAAACAAACCCTTTATGGATCGAACGGGAGTAGGATGAGAGCTGCTAGAGCTGTGCGACGATGTTGAACAAACGTTGCAGGAGTTTGGGGAGTTCGTGTCTGTAGCCCATCTCGCAAGTACGGGTCTCACGATGCAGCAACAAGCTACTGAGGGAGTAGAACGTGGCATGATCGCAGCGTTTGGAGGGACAGATGTACGGTTTACGGCCGTAGTTCTTATGTTTGGGGGACTTGAGATGGTAATCGATCTGTCCGGGATGGTCGAACTGTTTCTTGCAGAGTGGACATTGGAACGGACCGGGATGATCGGAGGGGATCTGCCAGACCCGTTGTGGGAAGATTAACTCCTTCCGCACGAACCATTGTTGTGGGTCGCAATGATGGCCAAAGTACTCGTCGACGTCTTCCAGCTCGACGCCCGATGGACAGGTGCCCGCTTCGAAGTGGCCGATAAGCGCCGAGGTGCTCACAAAGTCCTTCCCGCACGATGCGTGCGGACATCGGACGGTTTTCGGTTGATGAAGCGATGATCGGAGATGCTGTTGTTAATTGCACGAGTCAAGATAAAAAAAAACTGGAACGTTGAGCTCTTCTTCATCAGAGAAGACCGTCCTCAGCCGAGGAAAAGAAAATGGGCTGACCATGATCAAGTTATTGGTTTGGGTGAACAGCGTTTGACACGGGGCACAGTAGACATCGGAGTGAGTTTGGAGACAATGTTCCTTGAGCCCCTCCATGTTTGCGCACCACACCTTACATCTGGGGCATTGCGTATGATATTTCTGGTTGTGGGAGCGGATGTTATCAACATCGGATTGACACCATCTGCAGCACATGTGTTTTTGGGATTGATCAAGATGAGCTTGCAAGGCCTTTGCTGATCCAAACTCCCTTTGACATGGCTTGCAGTAGTGATGCGACCCGGATTCGAGGAGGTGGCGCTCGTATATTGACGGGTCTTGGCCGAAGTGTTGATGACAGGCTTCACATTCGTAGCGACAAAGGGTTATCATCTTGCTAAACGGATTCGAGAGTTTGTATGCAGATGGAATACGGATCGTTCGAAAAGCTGGGCAAGTGCAGGCTAGCAGTACATAGCACTGGGGTCTGAAAAATTTTTATAGGTTGTTGGCTGGGGCGATGTGAGTGGTTGAAGTGGGACGGTGCCGGCTCGGCTGGGGATCAAGCTGCTTCAACTCCCACACACAAAGAGAATCCTAGCAGGCGGGACACATTGTTCACCAATCTCTTGAGAACGTTCATGAGTCATGATAGCGTCGCCACGCTCACCCCGTTCCAAAGCTTGATAAGCTCACATGTGAGAGACGAGCTTGATTGAACTCCATCTTATAACTGGCAAATTCTCGGAGCAAGATGTCAAGCTGAACCTTTCAGCTTTCACTTGCCTCACCGTACTTCACTGGCCACATGTGAAGAATAAGGCAACTTTGCCGAGAACTTTGTACTTTCTGACTTGAGACTGTTTTGTATTTACTTTTACGGAACTGGTGAACTGAAACTTTTCAGTATGCTTTTGAAACTGTTTGTCTTGTGAGGTTTTTGCTGTCCATTTGGCACTCTTCATCATTTTAGTGGTATGTACTCTTTTTCAGAGATGCGCCGCAGGGCATCTCTTAGAACAGCCGTAGAATAAATTCTTCCAGCTGTTCGAGTTTGGGTTGTGATTGAATCTTTGTTTAATTTATTGAATTAATTTTTTGAACAAAGAATTCAATAGGGACCATGGAAATGAAAAATGAGTTTTTCTTTTACAAGAAGTATAGTTATCTTTTATAATGGGGGACTTCCCGTTGGATCTGGGACCCTCGCAGTTTGCGATTTATAGACCTGAAAAGTCTAGATTTTCGCTGGGAAATCTAGCTTTTGAAGCTCTAAATCAAAACTTCGAGACCCGCAGATGTTGACGGGAAGTCATCCAATGTTTTAATGTAAATTTTTATAATTTCTAAAAACAGGAAAGAAGTAGGTTTGAGAGCAAAACACCTATATCTCAGGTGTAAATTTCTAAAGATGATAGGAGCCTGAGTCTAGTGATGAAACCTACTACTCCGACATAGCTTAGACATTTTGGGGAAGGGGGAGTGCAGAGAGAAAGAAAGAATGATTATAAATGAAATTTTTGGAAAAAGTGGTTACCAGATAGTTTTAGGGGGTCGGAAAAACGACTCCCAAAAATTGTCCGATGACTCCCATTTTGGTCAAGGGGTCGTCGGACGGGAGTTGTTCTTCTAAATCAATGGCCAACTTTGGGAGTCGGCCATCCAATTTCTTTTTTAATATTTTAATTTTTAGGGAGTCGGCGCCCCAAACCACACCTCATGCTTGACGAGTCTATTGGGAATTATTTGCTGCCGTTTGCCTACAGGAATTCTCTCCCGCACTTTAACAATTTATACCTCTGAAAAGGGATAGGCCGCTTTTTCTGAAAAAATCCGGTTTAATTTCACTATAATGTTTTTGTTCCCCTGCTGCCGTAAAAAAGGACTTCTAATCCTTAAAAAGAGTGAATACGTCGAAAGAATACGTCGTCCCCCCAAAAGCTCTC